CCGGTAGAGTCTGGTAGAGTCAGGTAGAGTCCGGTAGAGTCCGGTAGAGTCCGGTGGACATCAGGAGAGTCTGGTAGAGTCCGATAGAGTCCGGTGGAGTGTGGTACAGTCCGTTGGAGATTAGGAGAGTCCGATAGAGTGTGGTAGAGTCTGGTTGAGTCTGGTAGAGTCTGGTAGAGAAAGTTGGAGATCAGGAGAGTCTAGTTCAGTCAAATAGGGTCTGGTAGAGGTACAATAGAAACCAGTAGTGTCTGGTGGAGATCTTCTAGAGATCAGTAGAGTCAGTAGAGTCCAATGGGAGCCTGTAGAGTCTAGTAAAGTCCGATAGAGTCCGACAGAGTCGATTGTCAGGTGGAGTGGGAGAGAGTCCGGTAGACTCCAGAGATCAGGAGAGCCCAGTTCAGTCAAATTGGGTCTGGTAGAGGTACAGAAGGGTACAATTGATTCCAGTAGTGACTGGTGGAGTCTTCTAGAGATCAGTAGAGTCCAGTAGAGTCAGGTAGAGTCAGGTTGACTCTGGTGGAGTCCGATAGAGTCCAGTAGACAGATTGATGAGTGCTGACAGGAGGAGGCATCAATCAGAGGATGAAGAAGAGGAGGAGGACGATGAACAGGATTCCAAGCAACACACCGATAGCACACCACTGACGACGATCTGTGGGAAAACAGACTGTTAATAAATATCAACTAATTAACTACAAGCTAAAAGCACTAGCATCCATTGTTTTATTTCTGTCACTACTGCAGTGTGAGGGCAGTTTACCGCTGGTCATGTGCGACACCTTAGCCAGTTTCTTCATGACATTGTCCAGTCTGGAGTGAGTGTTGTCCACCTCATGAGTGAAGTCATCCAGCATCCTGCAAGAAAAACACAAACTCATCAAGTCCGGCTTGAGTCAAAACATTTGCTTTGTCAGCTAACCGAATATCACATTTTAAAACATATTTCTTGGCATTTAGCCGTGAAAAAACCCTGTTTTCTGCAAACAAAGGGAGTTATGCACTGCCAAGTTATTTACATTAAAGAAATTACATTTTAATAAAAAGAAAACTGACTCATTTAATAAGATGAACAGTTTTATTGATTCAGATGTTTTTTTTGCTCCGTCACGGCTGCTCTGGGCTCAGTCATATGAACGGAGAGGATACAAAACTCTGGATTCGGCTTTTAGCGCATCTAGGACTTTAAAGACGTAATGATTTAAAAGTAGGGATGCTCAAGGGTTCGTACTGGGAAGTTGAATTACCTCAAACCCAGTTCTACGCTGGTTTACAGACGTCTCTTTCCAAGTGTAAGTCTATGGGAAACGTGTTTTTGGGCCCAATGACGTCAGGAGACTCACGGAAGTTGTAGTACCAACTTTTGGCCACTTTAAAATGTTCGCCTCAAAAAAAGGTGCTTTTTTTTACCCTTACTTCCTGTTGTGGTCCCTCACTTCCTGTCTTTGTCCCTCACCTGCTTTCCATGTCCCTAAACAACTGACTTACACGCCTTTTTGACCGTGCTAACTTTTGCCTACATAACATGTATTTGTCTGATTGGTCCGAGAAGACCTAAAAGTTTATTTTTTAGAAATGAACTTCACTTACCTTAAACCTACGATACCCTCACTCTAACCTCCAGGGCAGTATCCTGATGAAACCTCCAGGGACCTACCCTTCTCTATCCTACAGTAATCTCCAACCTTCCCTATCCTTTTATTCCTTCAAGGCCCTGCCCAGTCTGTTGCCTCCCGGGACAAACCGAACGTAGAGCATAAACCCAGTAATGGAAATGAATCTGAAAGTCCTTACACAGACTGCTCATCCAGCTCCATGCCGATCCTCTCCGACATGTTCTTCAGGACTCCGATTGTTCCCGACACCAGCTCCAGCTGCTCGTCCTGCTGCTCTGCAATCAGCTGATACAAACACACATTATTAAGCTTTGTTTGAATCCACCAGGTACCCAAAACCTCCCCATAGTGCATCATCGCTCAGAGCTCTGTTATTAGGGACAGTGCACATTAATCAACATTTCTGTAAATGTGCCAAGAGGCTATTTTTCATCTGTAGTCCCTGGACAGATGTTGTAAGTCAACCTAAAGACACATTTAATTTTAAACAAGTAAATACAATCAAATAAAAACATGCAACATACAGTCCTGGAAATCTTAATGCAAAAAAACAAAACAAGAAAGAACATTAAAACACAGGCAGTGGGTTGTAAGGAGCAGAAGTCATTGTGTCAGTGTTTCAGAGCGGATTCCATTGTTGAGCAGCTTCAACAGAAAATGAAGACTGACTGAAAGAACTTTTCCTGAGTGGAATAATGCAATCTCCTCTCGCTGCACCTCTTGTTATCCTAGTTGCAGTAGTGCGTATGATAATAAACCGTCTGAGAGGAGGTGAGGCCGTGGATCATCTTGTAAAGCAGTGGTTCCCAACCTTTTTTGTCTCGTGTACCCCTTGAGCCATTCTATAAGAAGCCCCTCACTCATCTGTGATCATTCGCCTACATCTTTACGTGTATGAAACCCTGCGTATCGTGTTCAACCCGACTGCTCCTAAAAGAAAATCACTTGTATTTCTCACATTCAATACAAGTCCATTTAAAACTTGAAATCTACACTTGTTGTCAGTTAAAAAAAGTATGTTAAGACTCACTACTTATTTAGGAAGCCAATCATTTTTTTTTTTTTTTTAGGAGAAGCCCCCCGCCCCCTCTGAACAGCCACTTTTATCCGTCATATTTGAAAAGAAACATTATTTTCTGTATTCATGTAAAATAAAAGTTATTTATTTATTTGGCGATGACTTGCGCTATTTTTAGAACGCCAGGCACATGCGTACCCCCTGCGATCCCCTCAAGTCCCCCTAGGGGCCCCCGCACCCCATGGATGTATAATAAGAACTGGATACAGCGTGGGAGGCGGGGTCTCGTTCCTTTCCAATGAGAGCTGCTCATTGGCGCATTAGGACAAAATGGCCTGAGATTTTCAAGAGCAAAACATCACAGATTACCCATCATGCCTGGCTGTCAGAGCAGAAGTACCCGTATGTAGTTCATAGAGCGTAGTTTCCCCTAACGCCCTGCCTCCTGTCATTAAGCCCCGCCTCCTATAATTAAGCACCACCTCCGATCTCCTGCTCTCGGCTCCATAGAATGAATGGAGAGAAATTAAATCTGGATTCAGCTTTAGTGCATTTTACAACTTTAAGGACCTAATAAGGGCTATAAAAGTGTTCGTGCTGGGTAGTTTATTTTGTTTAAAAAAGATTATCAGCTGATTTACAGACGTCTCTTTCCCCATGTTAGTCAATGGTGAAAAATCTTTCTGGGCCCAGTGACGTCACGGACTGATACGGAAGGTGTAGTACCGCCGTTCGGCCACTATGAATATTTTCCTCAGAGCCCGGAGCACTTCCTGGGGGCTTGCTGTACCCCCGGTAGGGAACCACTGTTGCAAAGAAGGCAAGCATTTGCATCGGCTGTGTCATGACTCCAGTGTTTGTGTACCTGCTGCTGGCCCTGCTGCTCCTCGATGCACTGAGAGTTGGCGTTCTGCAGCTGGCTGTCCAGACGGCTGTATTTGTTACCTCCGGGCTGCCAGATCGGACCTGAAGGGCCGCGCTCACCGAGAAGAGCCTGGACACAACAACACACACACACTGTCAGACATCTTACGTTGTGCAGCAGCTTCGGCTGACCAAAGGTAAGAATATGAGGAAAAATCGCATCAAAAACTCGACCAGGGAAACTCTTGGTCTTGATGAGAACACAGGATTTTGGCTCCAAGGTTCGTTGTCCTTTGCTTACAATGACAGGAAGCTGCAAATATATATTTTGTCCATATCCAAAAACGTATTTCCCTTCAATGTACCTGACCTTCCCTCACTGTAACCTCAAGGGACTTATATACCCTTTCCTTATATCACTTCCAAAGCCTTACCATACCCTAAATATGTTCATTTAATTCATTTCTTATTTTAAAAGTTACTTAACTGTATATCATTTTAATTGTATTAATCTTTAATCTTGTGTGAATCTGTGCTGCCCTGTTTTTCCTTCTGACCCTGTTGATGTTTAAACTCCTGAATTTCCCCACAGTGATTAATAAAGGTCCATCATATCTTATCTCTTATCAGGACCTACCCTACCTTGTTCATATATAAACTCCAAGGACCAACCCTACCGTTATATTCTTTTGAGCACCTGGCCTACCATACCCTGTCTATAAACCTCAGGGACTTTTCCTACCTTCAACCCTCAAGAGTTAAGGCAACTACAGGGGGTATTTTAGTGTCTCTTGGGGTAAAAGTTTATTTAAAAGGTTAGCTGCATTGATTTGAGGCTTTTCTAAAAGGCTTTTTGTAACAGCTCCAGTATAAAAGTACCCCTGTGGTCAGTTACCTGGTGGTTCTTTCTGTCCCCTGAAGACGCACCTGGACTCGACATCTGTTCTTTCATTTCCTTCAAGACAAAAAAGTACAGTCAGCAGCCAATCAGATCGTTAGGAATCAAATCAGACACTAGCAGTTCAGCGTGAAGACTAACGGCAACTGGGGATGTCACAATACCAGAATTTAAGTCAATACCAATACCAGAGACATTTGAATACCCAATTCTGGATTCGGCTTTTAGCGCATTTTACAACTTTAAGGACCTAATGATTCTAATAAATGTTAGTCAATGCGAAAAAGTATTTCCGGGCCGGGTGATGTCACAGACTGATACGGAAATTGTAGTACCGCCGTTTGGCCACCTGGAATATTTTCTTCAGAGTCCGAAGCACTTCCTTGGGGCTTGGTGTTCAGTGACTCCTCACCTGAGCACAGAGGTGAGTTTTACCTGATGTAAGTGAAGCTTACCTTGACCGTCTGCCTGGTGCTGGTGATGAAGGCTTTCCTCTTCAACAGTTCTGCCATGTCCAGGTTGAACTTCTTTGGGTTGGACTCAACGATGCGTTCACGGACAGTTAAGAAAAACACTCATCTTTCACAGGTTAACACTTCACATCTCTGATCTCTACAACACGTCAGGGTGTCATGGATCCGATGTAACACTCACAACATTAAAGAATAAAACAAAGAGGAATCAATAAAACAAAGACAGAGAGATGGTTGAAGTCAAATAGTATATTGCTGTACAGCACTATAAGAGACACATTACCTTGCAACAAAGCACTCAATAGTGTAATGTCCCTACAGTCTAAGGGGAATCTCAGAGCTTATATGCACCTCAAATTGCATCCGTAGTTAAACTTTTCCTGACCTCTGTCCCCTCTATCTTTAAATCATTCTAGGTTTCACAACCCTTTTCTCTGCTGACACCTTACATGCTAATGTTGGCCACAGAAATAGGTATGCCTCCTTTTGGAAACTAAATGGATACTCACTAGTATGGCTTGAAACACATGATTATATAAAA